ATGTATGCATAAATACAATTAATAATGGCTATTGTACACATCAATCACGCTACCTTTATAGCCAATTGTTTATATTTACCTTGACAGTATCTTCTCTCGTATCCATCCTGTCTAACAAGGTCATATGCTCTTTCACATGTTGTCCAATCAGTAGAGTTAGGGCACCCGTAATCATAATCGCATTCACCCTCACAGTAATGGTCCGAACTGGTAGTACAACATACTTGATCACAATTGTCAATGTCAATGCATTCTGAAATATAAATGTGAACAAGAACATTTCACATGCAAATTTAGAAATTATTTTAACTAATTAATAAGTGTAATGCTTTTGGATGCTTTGGATTTGTATCTAGGATCATACTTACTAGTTTCACAGTTTCCACCATGATATCCTATGCACGCACAGTCACAACGGTAAGAGTCACAACTTCCATCTTTGCTGCAATCTATACAAGTCCCGCCATTCTCACATGGGTAAGACAGGCACTTCTCTGGAAACAAATATCTAATAATTTGTCCATTTTTTCAAATTATCAAAGTTGTTTGCAACATTGCAGACTCAAACAACTAAAACGTGATGTATTCTTCAGTTAAATTGTTTCATACTGAATTAATTGTTCTAATTTTAAATCATTTGTATGTTGCATTATATACACACAAGTCATGTTAAATATACTCGTGCCATGCTTTAGGCTTGTTTAAATAAGCATGTAATATTATGCACAACTCTTTGCGTATACGAAAACATGCATGTACGACCTTTTCCAATAAAAGTAACTAGAATGAGAGTGGAAAATGTTAAGTAGAACGCCTGCCAAAGAAATATTTTCACAATAATTCAATGATTTGACAGAGTTGGATAACGATGCAAGTATTACCATCACTTCTTTTACAGACGTATTTTTTTGTCAATTCTTCATCAAGGTCATTCCATTCACCATTGCTCTCCATTACAACAGCATCTTGGGTATCTCTAAATAATTCTGCCCCATTATTTGGTTGAAATGGTTCCCAATGTCTTTATGATAAAATGTGTACGTAAAAAGAAGAACAGCGACATGATGTCGAACACTTACTTGTACATTGATAACAGTGACAATATATGCTTAAACTCGTGCTTAAATACTAACGTACTATTCAGGATTACCTCACATACAATGCAAACATACTCAAGATATTGAGTTATTGTAAGATATGATTACTATGACATGGGCAGATGTTTAGACTTATAAATTCAACCAAAAATATTCCTATGAAGGTAAGCACGTATAATTTAATTGCTGTGACTGTGCTAATTTTTTTTAGGCAGTTGGAAGCTGGTATATGGAAAAATTACTAATAGTTGAGACCATGAAAATGGAAATTAATAATTTGGATAGTTCAAGTTCAAATTATTATTCATGTATGGTCATGTTGCTTAAATTTCTATATGTATATTTCTTGCTTATGAGTTAATTATTTCATCAGAAAATATATCCTCCCAAAGTAACTCAATCTATATTTTAATCTAATTATGTGAACCAAATAAAACATTATCATGATTTGTCGGTGATCAAAACTTATGAATGAATCATGTTCGTGTTGATATGTCCAATCTAATGAGATCTATTGTTATTTTTGAAAAAAAAATCTTCCAGCAAATCCCATTAACGATTTGTTGGGATGTACTTTTTGTAAATATCATTGTCCAACTATATTCTATAACTAATCCAGCTATTCCATTTGAATAAATTGAAAACAAATTATGTGCTATTTAACGTAAATACAGTGTAGTAATGATGCTAAATTTGCGAAGGCAACATAAATATAATATTACCATATATAAGATTAATTTATATTTTACTCCTTCAAGAAAAACAACACATATTGCGAATAAAACACAATAATATATACAAATG